TTTTTTTTTTTTTTTTTTTTTTTTTTTAGGGCTTTGATGAAAAACCTATAAATTACTTCTTTACTGAGCAATGGAGGATTATAATAATCATCTAAACGAGAACTCAAATCCGAGAGGCAATTTCTTGTATGCATCAGCCAATTCTTCATCTGGTAATTATGGAAGATCAAGCAATCCGACGGCTCAGATGCCTGCTCACACGTTTCATCTTCAACAAGGAGCTGATTGTTTTCAAGCCGATCAATCGCACCCGATCGTCAAGTCAGAAGCCAGTACTTCCCACCACCAGCTCCTCAAATTCCACTACTCTTTAGGACAGCCGCCGCCGCCGCCGCCGACGACGACGACAACATGTCGGCCTGACGATGACGGCGGCGTTGATGTTGAAGCCATAAAAGCCAAAATCATGGCTCATCCACAATATTCCAGCCTCCTTGAAGCCTACATGGAATGTCAGAAGGTAACAACAAAAGAAAAAGAATCGATTTTTCATGAAATTTCAAACGGGCCCCTACCTTTAATTCCCATGTTTTTGTAGGTGGGTGCTCCGCCTCAAGTGGTGGAGCAGCTGGTGGCTGCCCGGCAAGAATTTGAAGCACGGCAGCGATCTTCCATGGTTTCTGGAGATTCCACGAAGGATCCAGAACTTGATCAATTCATGGTGTGTGACAACCAACCATAGCCTCCTAACAGCCTCTACTTTTGTTCTTTTCGTGCTAATTAATAATTTTACTTTAGAATATAAGGGTTTTTTCCTTTATTCGAAAAATAATAGGAAGCTTATTACGACATGTTGGTGAAATACCGAGAGGAACTTACAAGGCCAGTTCAAGAAGCCATGGATTTCATGCGCAGGATCGAATCTCAGCTCAGTTCTCTCTGTAATGGTCCAGTTCGGATCTTCAATTCCGGTAACTTTTCTACTAAATTTCTAATTTTCCTGAAAAGGGTATGAATTAAATCCATTTTCTGAGATGGGTTTTTATTCTTTCTGCAAAATTTTGTAGTTTTCCTTAATTAATGGAACCCTAATCATCATATGCCCACGTTTGGTTCTGCAATTTTTGGGTTTTTTTTTTGTCTAATTACACTTATCTTTATTTACTTGAACTGATTAAAATGGAAGCTTAATTAAGTAAATTGAATCGAACATAGGATTCTGTTCATATCAAACGCTACCCCATGGTAGGTCCTGTCAGAAAGGAACAAAATTACTAATTTAATTTATTAACGATCTGTAAAATGTGTCATATTAAACTTTGAAGGATTTGATATTTCATTTATTCTATGCTCTTCTTGGAACTTGTAATCGCTAATTGTTGAATATTTCATGTTCTGATTTCTTAGTTAGCCAATTTTGTGTGTATTTTGCTTGTTGGTTAATTAATTAATTAATTAGGGTCTGAATATGTAAGTACCGAGAAGCATCTTCTACTGCTTCCCTAATCATTAAGAATATTTGAATTTTAATCAATAAACACCTTGAGCTTTTGAAGTGTTTTTAGTATCGGGACTCTAAGTCAGGTCTTAACGAGTGATTTGAAATGACTTTTTAGTAGTTCGATACTCACAATGGTACGATATTGTCCACTTTGAGTGTAAGCTCTCGTGTTAATGGAGATGTATTCCTTATAAATCCATGATCTCATTCCCTAAATTAGTTAATGTGGGACTCCCTCCTAATAATCCTTAACCATCCTCCCCTCGAACAAAGTACACCATAGAGTCTCCTTTAAGGCTTATGGAACCCATAAACAGTCTCCTCTGGAATTCTCAAACAAAGTACACCCTTTGTTCGACACTCGAGTCACTTTTAACTACAACTTCGAGACTCACAACATCTTTGTTCGACATTTGAGGATTCTATTGACATAACTAAATTAAGGGCATGACTATGATACTATGTTAGGAATCACGAATCTCCACAATGATATGATTTTATCCACTTTGAGCATAAGCTCTCATTCCAATAGATATGTATTTCTTGCTTATAAACTCATGATTATTTCCTCAATTAGTCAACGTGGGTATCCCAACCATTTTCAACAAGATCACGTACTTGAATTCTTCACAGATGAGAAGTGCGAAGGTATCGGATCGTCAGAGGAGGAACAAGAGAATAGCGGGGGAGAAACCGAGCTACCGGAGATCGACCCGCGAGCGGAAGACAGGGAATTGAAGAACCACCTACTGAGGAAGTATAGTGGTTTCCTGAGCAGTCTAAAGCAAGAACTGTCTAAGAAAAAGAAGAAAGGGAAGCTCCCAAAAGATGCAAGACAGAAGCTTCTTAATTGGTGGGAGTTGCATTACAAATGGCCATATCCTTCAGTAAGTTACCTCATTTATCCCTTAATCCTAACCAATCATATTCATTATATTTGAATGAAATGATGGGGTTTTTCACAGGAGACAGAGAAGGTAGCATTGGCTGAATCCACTGGATTGGATCAAAAGCAAATAAACAATTGGTTCATAAACCAAAGGAAGAGACACTGGAAACCTTCTGAAGATATGCAGTTCATGGTGATGGATGGCCTTCATCCTTCCAATGCAGCGCTCTACCTCGACGGTCATTACATGACCGATGGCCATTATCGACTCGGACCGTGACCCACCGTCACGCTACTCAAGAAGGTTAGTTCCCTTATATCATCCAAGAAATTAGTTTGATAAATAATAACGTTGCATGCTTCAAGTTTCTTTGTTAGAAGGTATATAACTCGACGTAGTTGATGTTTTATGAAAGTTACACAGGACGGGAGTTTTTTTTTTTTTTTTCCTTTTTAAGGATGTTTTGTGTTCTATTGTAGTATTTAAGATTCTGATGTTTGATAAGTGTCGAGGAATTAATAATAGAAGAGAAGTGTATTTGTTATTTGTTTAAAGCCTATTATGTAGTTTGTATTTGGAACCTCAGGATTGCTGCATATGCTAATGCCTTGGCTACTTCAACTTCCTATTTATTTCTCTCTCTTTCGAATTCACCAACATGGTTGCTAGGTTTTACTTATAATATTTAAATAATTTAATCTCTCGCCTTACCTATCCAAAACTTAAAGATCAAGTCATCGGCCCGATCGGGGCCATCTATATAGAAATGTCCCTTTGAGCCCATGAAGACCCGGCTCGAATGAAGTAAAGAATACCCTTCAAAATAAAGGAGGGATTTGATAGAAATTTCTGATCTCGATTTTCACCTCACTTTTATATATATATGTTCTAAGACACAAAACTAATTTATTATATATATGTATTATATATTTATTTACTAACTTGGTAGGGAAGATTCTGTCCCAATGAAATGACCGACATATAGGTTAGTTCTCAATGGATGTGTTCGAGCAAACCAATATGGTCAAGTTGTTTCGTGATATGAGATGACATCAGGATGTATGAGTCGCCTTATTGGGAACCAAGATTGTGTCGTGCATGATTGAACATGCATACACGAGCGATGTGTGTGGCCGAACAAGCTTGAATTTCGTACAAATTTTGTTCGGTTAGCAAAAGTAAACCTCATCGACGATCCGATGAAGCCACAAAGTTGGGCGAAAAATGTGAATGGACTTTGAGTTTCTCTCTCCCTCTTAAACCCCAATGAAGGTGAAAACGACGACACCGGACTTCCCGAAGAACTCAGCTGGATGAACTCGTCAGAGGATTCAACAACAATCGACAACCCCAACGATAGAGAAGGCATAATAATGTCATCAAACTTCAAAACCTGCTGCTTCTTCTTTACACCGGCCATTTCCAATACAAGCAATAGCACAGAATGATCCATTCTCTGCCCCAAACCAAGAACCCCTCGAGATGTAAAGTTGAGAGAGAAAAATATAAAGGGAAAATGAAGGAGAAACAGAGAGGAAGGAAGCTTCTTAAAGGGAAATGGAAATTTGTGGCTCTTACGAAGATTCGACATCTCATGGCTCCAACATTCTTCTGTGACCATATCACGTTATTTACTCCTCGCTTCTTTGCCTAATTATATAAGTTGAGAGAATAGATTAATGAAAGAAAGAAAAAATAAAGAGAAATTTAATTAAATGAAAATTATAAACTTCGCTTCTTTGCCTAATTATATAAGTTGAGAGAATAGATTAATGAAAGAAAGAAAAAATAAAGAGAAATTTAATTAAATGAAAATTATAAACTCCTCGCTCCCTTACTTAATTGTATAAGTTGAGAGAATAGATTAATGAAAGAAAGAAAAAATAAAGAGAAATTTAATTAAATGAAAATTATAAAATAGATGAGAATAACCAAACTTGTAATTGGCGGTAGCATGTTGATTGGATAGAAAGCGATGTCATATTTGTGAAACGGATGATGTTGAAGGTGGGGCCCAAAAATGATTTGGCATCATGGATAATAGATTCGAAGGGATCGTGAAAGTGAAAGTGACAATGTCACAATCATACGTAAAAGAGAGTCAGTTGTAACCCTCATATATTACAGAAACAAAAGTATAGTGTTCGTTGGATTATATGAATGCTAAAATAGATCAGTGTCATCCAACATATTTATTATGCACACTCTTGATGTATTGAATGATACACGGTTCTTTTGAGTCATATCAAAATACATTATGTAGTGCTCAAAGGTTACGGACATCTCTTCAATATTTGCAAGTCCTTGACATAAATGTCGACTATTTAATTGGTGTATTAAATTTTAAATCACAAATAATGTCGACTATTTTACAATAAAATATAATTTAATGTAAACAAATATATATTTTTTTAAATCTATATCATGAATATATATATTGAAAAAATCCAACAAGGTGGCAACTGAAATAACTAAATAATATAATAACAAAATGACTTTTAAGGAGATCCTAATGCTAGAGGGGAAGGATTTTCTCTGTCTAATCATTTATTAGGGCTTTTTAAATATTCTTAATCTTAATTATTTGTATCTCGTCTCCTTAATAATAGAAGTTAATAAAATTATAATTTTTACCCTTCTCGAGTATTATTATTATTATTATTATTTTTAATTTAATGTTCGGACATTCAGGCCCAACCATTTGGGCTTTTTTACAATTAAATTGGGCCCAATTGAACACTCTCTTATCTAAAACTCATTCGAATTAAATCACATTTACACTTTTTTTATATTTAAGATATGATTTGTGCATCATAATTAATACTGAAAAGCAGACCCGATCAGTTGGAGGAGTGGCTGTGCCTAATTAAAAATGTACTTGAATTTAAAAAAATAATTATAGCATTTAATCCTGCTATCCTTTTGATGGGATTCCTTTCAATTCCCCCAACCACCAAAAATAATTCAATTTTGGAGTGCTAAATAATTCATCAAATTAAAAAAAAAAAAACAAAAAAAAATATCAACCTCAAAGACTTTAGATATTTATTAAAATAATTATAAAATTAATAACCAAGGTAGATTTGTGTTTGCATATTGTGACTCCGACATATATTTTAAAAATCTATAAGAAAAAATATTAAGAGTAGAAATATAAATTCTCTATTTATTATTTTATTATTTTTTTTAGAGATCCCTCACAAAGATTAAATTATTTATATATAGACAATAATGAAGATTATGTTTAGCTAAATTACTAATAAAAACATATGTGTTTATCATTCAAAACGATGTGTTCAATTGATGGATTACGTTTCCATATAATTATTTGAAATTTGGTCGCCTTTTCAAATAATCTCAGTCAATGAGTCTTACTTTTTGGGGTTGATTTCAAGGACACATTCATTTTGTCGGGTTGAATACATGGAATAAAATGGTAGGGTATTCAGGTGCATGTATCTTACAATAACAATAAACCATTTAATATGGCCTACAAATTCACAAATAGAACCTAAAGTTCTTAGAGTTTTTTTTTTTAAGTGGGTTGTTAGATGAGCCCAACTTTTCGCAATGGTATAATATTGTCCACTCTAAGCATAAGTTCTCATGATTTTGCTTTGAGCTTCCCTAAAAGGTCTCATTCCATTGGGGATTCCTCGCTTATAAACTCATGATCATCCTCTAAATCAGTGAATGTGGGATTTTCATCAACCAACACGGAGGAGAAAAATTAAACTTTATTGTAAATTTGATTTTGAATATATGGTACTTTCAAGGACAAAAACTAAGATTCATTTCATCATATCATATACCTTGTAGATAATTATTGATACCCAAATTTAATAAACTATGGAAATTTTTGATAAATTACAAATACGTAAAAGTTATATGGTATGCATGACCCTGCGAACCAACGAAAAAACAGCTCAACGTAAAGAGGGACAGCCCAATATATATATAATATATATTATAATTATCCTATTGATTCTAGGCAAAAACAGACAAGAAGAAAATCCTGTCTTTTTTATTGTCTTTTTTATAAAAAAATTACAAATCCGATGGCTTTTTCATCACGCACATGAATTTCCCTCCCTTAATACTATTATAACCCTCTCTCTTTCCCCTTTCCCTCTCATAATTTCTGTACTTTGAACACTCCTTTCCAAACAAAGGCCATGGGAAGAGCTCCTTGCTGTGATAAAGCCAACGTGAAGAAGGGCCCGTGGTCGCCCGAGGAAGACGCAAAACTCAAATCCTATATCGAGCAGCATAGTACCGGAGGAAACTGGATCGCCCTACCTCAAAAAATTGGTAACGCAAATTTATCATAACCCATCAACTTAAATTTTTTTTTTTTTAATTAGTTTGAAATTAAATTGAAATCGATATGATTTTCTTTGGATTGGATTAGGTCTTAAGCGATGTGGGAAAAGCTGCCGACTCCGATGGTTGAACTACCTTCGTCCGAATATCAAACATGGGGATTTCTCAGAAGAAGAAGATAGAATAATTTGTAGCCTTTATATTAGCATTGGAAGCAGGTAATTTAATTTTAATAAAGTTGTGATTTTTTTTTTTTAATAAAAATTAAAATTAATTAAATTCAATGTATCGATATAGGTGGTCGATTATTGCAGCTCAATTACCGGGAAGAACGGATAATGATATAAAGAACTATTGGAACACGAGGTTGAAGAAGAAACTATTTGGCAAGCAACAACTGGTGAGAAGAGGAAGAAAAATCAAATCCGAAATTGGAAATTCCATGGCTATTGCTTTTGACAACCATCTTTGTAATAACCAATCGCCTTTCTTGCCGGAGTTAACATCGGCGCTCAATTCCCCGCCGCCGCCGCCGCCGTGCGCAAATTACCAATCGCTTCAATTCGCTTCTAATTCTCAGCAACTCTTCGGTCACACCCCCGGCGGCGATTTGAGCAGAACAGACCGTTTCCAATTTGGAACAGACGGGGTCCCGGGTCTACCAATCCCAAGCCGCCACGTAGGTGAATTGGAGAAGGTCGTGTATAGCAATACGGCGTCGTTTGATAATGGTAATGGCTTGATGAACGAGTTGGATTGGGGGGAAATGAGTTCTTTGATTTCTGCTCCTTTATATCCTTCAATGGCTCATGATTTGATGATGGGTTCTTCTGTTTTAGGGCAGCAAAAACAATAGTTTAGTGAGATTACCAAAAATCAAAATTATCTCAATCTGTACATTATGATTATAACCTAATTCGATTCGATTCGATTCTTGCTGTAGAAGTAAAACCTTAAAAGGTTTTAGACTTTATGTTATCGTTACTTTTTTTTTTTAATTATATAGTTGAGATTTCATATGTTTTGTTCATCACATAGCGAGTATTTGATTTTAATTAATTTTGGAAAATTAGAAGAGAAATAATATATCTAATGACCATATGTGTAATTATATTAATCATATAAATAATTAATTTATATATATAATTATTCATTATTATAAAGTAAAAGCTCGACAAATTTGACTTCATTTACCTGTTGAAAGTTCAATCCGAGATAAAATTTGTCGCACAATAAATTTATCTCTTATTCACTCAATTGTACATAATTTATGTCAATTGAGTCATGTTATTGTCGATAAGGTTTTTACTATTGTAATTTCTTAAATTTGACGGTGAATACAAAAAATAATCGAGATTAAGAAAATAGGTTTTTTATAAATTTAAATTCTGAGTATTAATTTAAAAAATATGAACAATTCCATGGATAAATAACTCGGACTAAATTGTTACCGTTAGTTTTTTATTTAATGGTTAAGAGTCCAAAAAAATACATGAATTAAGGAGGGTTTTAGAAGGAATAAAAGGGGTAGTGGTTTGACACATGATAACTGCAGCCTAAAATTCAGAAACACAGAAAAGCAAGTGAATAAAGAAGAATTTGGTTCTGAAACGCTGTCGTAAAAGAATATCCTGTGGGAAGAACAAGCACAGCAGCTAAACGACCAAACAGGAAGCGTCCAAGGCTCAAAGCTGAAGCGCTGATCATAAATAATTTAATTTATTAATTAATAAGATGTTTAGATTAGCCTTAAGCACCGCCAAGAGCCAAACGACGACGCTTCACGCATGTTATTCTTTGGCTACGTGATCGTCTTCAAGATTTTGTCCTGAAAAACCACTGGATTCGAGGGTCTGGCTTCCTCATTTTTACTGCAAATTTCCACTGTTTCCGAGGAGGGGAAATTCTGTTTAATTCATGGGGGGCTAAATTTAATCACTTGTCAGAATTTTTTTTATGTATTATTATTATTATTATTATAACTTATCTATTATCTGATTTTTTATTTTATTTTATTTTATTTTATTTTTTGATTTGGCTGGTTTAGTTATTTAACCCTCCAAGGGGTGATGAGGCATGCTTGGAATTTATAAGCTTTTTTTTGGGACTCTAAATGGTGATTTTATATTAGCATTACTGCGGGTTTAATTTTTATCATGCAAAGTTTTGCAGTTTCAATAAAGATTTTTTATTTATCTTTAGTAATTTTTGTTATTGAAGGGAGGAAAGTTTGAGACTCTCCACAATGGTATAATATTGTCCACTTTGAACATAAGCTCTCGTAGCTTTGCTTTGGACTTTCCAAAAAGCCTTATACCAACCGGTATTATTAGATTATAAATCCATGATGATTCTCTAAATTAGTCGACGTGAGACTTTCATCATCCAACACCTCTCCTCAAACAAAGTATACATTCCCTTAATCGAGGTTCGACTCCCTTGGAGTCTTGGTCATTTTTTACTATGCCTTCCCACTTTGAGCATAAGCTCTCGTAGCTTTACTTTGGGCTTCCCAAAATGCCTTATACCAATGGGTATTATTAGATTGTAAACCCATGATCATTCCCTAAATTAGTCGACGTGGGACTTTCATCATCTGATACCTCCCCTCGAACAAAGTACGTCTTCCCTTAATCGACACTCGACTCCTTTGGAGTCTTAGTCATTTTTTACTATGCCTTCGAGGAGGGTTGACTTCTTTTCTTTTGGAGTCCTTTGTTCGACATTTGAGGATTTACCAATCTATTGGCACGACTAAGTTTAGGACATTACTCTTATGTCAGGTTAGATGAACATGACTCTCTATAATGATATGATATTGTCCACTTGAAACATAAGCTCTCATGACTTTGCTTTGAGCTTCCCCAAAAGACCTCATACCAATGGAGATAGTATTCTCCATGGTCATTCCCTAAATTAGCCGATGTAGGACTTTCATCCAACAGAGGCGATAACGACTAACGGCAAAATGAATGACAACTTTGTGGCTCTGGAGAAAGTTGTCAAGACAAAGAGATCAACCCAATGAGCAGAGCTCTTTCATAGATGAAAAACACAACTATTCAGTCATAATCCGATCTTGTGAGCCCGACATTGCACTGAGAGGCAATGCAGGCTAGCTAGGTATTATGTATCAGCGTCATAGTTTGCGTGGGGTTGGGGCCCCGTAGGGACCCACCCCAAGTAGAAAGGGGATTCTCCACCGAGAATGAGTTAGGAAGTTGGAAACATTTTTTTCGATAAATGTGGTGGAGACGGAATTATATTACTGGTCTCCTAATTTTTTTTTTAATTATTAAAATATTACAATGTAATATTAAAATTTGAATTTTGCATGTGAAATTGTTAGCTTTAATATATATTTTCAATATTCTTTCCCAGAATTCAGTTCATCAAATGGATCGTTACTATGGTCCATGGGCTTTCATTGGCCCAATAGAGTCTGAGCCATTAAACCGACATGTCGTGTAGTCAATCACGATGCATTGATAAATCTCCTTTCTCCAACGCGATAAATTCTTTTCTGGTGAGCTTTTCGAATTTGACACGTACGCAAGTTTCATGAGATTCTATGTGCGCGAGCATACACGATCGCTGCCACGTGCCGGTCGCGTTTCCGTTCCTAAATACAAAATCGCCATCCGCCAGAGCTCCCCCGACTATAAATTAAAGAAGGCGGGAATTAATGGAAGGAATAATGGCGCTCTAGACTCTGGAGTGAGAACTTAACGGTTTGGGTGAAAAATGAGGAGCGACGATTGCGATTGGCGGAAGGATAACAAGTGTTCATCTGTAGATGGACGCTTTCAAGCACCGAATTGGAGGTAACTTTGGAGTGCTTTTACATTTGGTTTGATTTCATCGGCGCCGCTCAGGCCACTACTTTCGCCGTAAGGTTTATACACGCTTACAAGAATCGGAGAATAAGAAGCGTGGATTATTTGTATCTCTGGTCACAGTGGCTACTACTTTCGTGTGAGTCTTACTCTATTGGTATGCTTAGTTGCTTTCGAGAACCGGAGGATATACTTTGGAGCACTTTTCTTTTTAATCTGGACTAATCGGTGACGAATCCTCCATTATTCATTGCTTTCGAAATAATCGGTTAACGTTTTCGTATGATTGATGAATGCATTCTATCTCTTCTATTCCTGTTAGAATACGGATGGATCTGTTCTTATTAGTCTACTATTGAGCACTTTTTTTTTTTAATCTGGACTAATCGGTGACGAATCCTCCATTATTCATTGCTTTCTAAATATTCGGTTAACGTTTTCGTACGATTGATGAATGCATTCTATCTCTTCTGTTCCTGTTAGAATATGGATGGATCTGTTCTTATTATTCTACTATTGAGCAATTTTTTCTTCATCTGGACTAATCGGTGACGAATCCTCCATTGTTCATTTGCTTTCTAAATATTCGGTTCACGTTTTCGTATGATTGATGAATGCATTCTATCTCTTCCATACCTGTTGGAATATGGATGGATCTGTGTTTATTATCATACTATTGAGCACTTTTTTTTTTTTTTTTTTTTAATCTGGACCAATCGATG